CCCGGTCAAATGGTTCACCTCTACCAAACAGACACCTGCGAAGATCTTCCCCCTTGAGTGGCAGATAGAACACAGGTGCTTGCCGACAAATGACTGACTGACAGTGGAAGCCTGGAACAGAAGCGCCGGGCCACCGCTTGGTGCAACTCCTGCGTTCTGAACTTTCCCTTTCGAAAAAAAAAGTGAAACAATCGAACATGTCTTCCTTCAGTGCCCGGGAGCCGTCCTGACTTGGTGCTGATAGGACCGTATCTGGTGGCAAATGGGCACAAGAGTGGAGTGGCCTTGGGACTGGCGCGCCCTGCTATTGAGCGCATGGCAGTCGCCACAGGCCAGCACCTTCACCATAAACACTTTCCACCTCGGTCATAGGTTTATTCTATGGGCGCTCTGGTGGAAGCGTTGTACACTTCAAATGGATGAAGCCAGATTGGGGGAGCAGAGTTCGCAGAAACAGTCAAACAAGAAATACAAACGGATGTGCTGGCACAATGGGAGCAGGGTAAAGTAAGTCTGGAATCTGGATACAATGGAAACTGCCTCACACATCAAGACGAGAATCAACGTCTTTTCAGGAGACTGCCTGGGTGGGGAGCAAAGGGGATGGGTGGCAGAGGTAGAGTGGAAAGGAGAGCAGAAGGAAGGCCCGGCCCAATATAAAGAGGCACTACAAATTCTCCTTCCATGACTGGACACTGATAGATAGTTCAATCCCAATGCAACCCCCCGAGGGGTAAAGAGGCACTACAAATTCTCCTTCCACGACTGGACACTGATAGATAGTTCAATCCCAATGCAACCCCCCGAGGAGTTCCCTGACCCCTCCCCCCCCCCCCTCCTAACCTCTCTCTATGTAATTATAGTGGTATGGTCTGTGAGGAAGGCCAGGCATGTTCACTAGTGTATACGGGGGGCTAGGGCTCAAGAGTCAATATCTGGCGGCCATGGATGGGCCGAAGAGGCTGCCTGTACTCAGGATCAGTACTTCTATCTCAGTTTGATTTGAAGTTTAAACTTATGTCAGATGTGGGAGACTGGACCCGCTTTCCAACAGGTGCAGCTCCCCACCAATAGAATGGAGACATGCCCGCGGCTATCAACGGCACGCCGGCTCCGACTTTTTCAGAGTAGGTGACGGAAAATTCTCCACAAGGCTGGGGCCATTTACTAGAAGAACGAAGAAGACGAAGACGAAGAAGAAGAAGAAGAAGAAGAAGAAGAATAAGAAGAAGAAGAAGAAGAAGAAGAAGAAGAAGATCAAGAAAGCACAGACATGGAGTTAGCAGTAGCCCTAATGGGGCTCTGGGGGCAGGACCCCAGAATGACTTAATAATTGAATGGAGCTGGACCGGTTTCCAACAAATGGCTGTTAAAGGGACACTGGACCCGATTTCCAGCTGGTGCTGCTCCCCACCAAACAGAATGGAGCCATCCCATAAGCAGATCCTCAATCCTGGCGGTTCCCCAAAGGGACCCCTTAGCTGCGCCAATCTTCTTATTTAGAATGGAGACGGTGGCATCCTTTCTCAGAAAGGATCCATCAATCCAACGACTTGTAACGGAGCCAGATCAACAAGGGCGTCTTATCCACCTGCCTACAACCCTCCTCTTCGCGGACGACCTCACAATATTAATTAGGGCATCAGACTCATCCTTTCAAGCCCTGAAACGCAGGCGATGGAGGCATTCCAACTGGCATCGGAAATGAAAATTAATTGGCCAAAGACAGTAGGCTGGTGGTTGGCAAACCACGAGGAAGAGGGTGAAAGCCCAGTCTCAAGCCCACATGGGCTTCAATGCGTGACAGCACAAGCCCCGTTGAGATATCTAGGTATCAAGATAACCACAACGGGACCACACTATACAATGGTAGCGGATCTCATGTCCAAGATTTCTAACAAAGATGGGAGCCTGGTCAGCAGTGTACACGTCAGTCTTCGACAGGGCCTTGATTGTAAACACATCTATCTTCTCCATGCTATGGTACGCAGGGACAATTTGGACCCCACCAACGCAGACAACATTGTTACTGAGAAGAAGGGCGGCAGCATATCTTTGGACATCTAATGCAACTAAACCACACTTCATATCCAAAGTAGCATGGAAGTACGTAACCCAAGCGAAAGAACAGGGAGGTCTGGGTATTCTGGACCCAGAACAGCAGCTCAAGGCGCTCCAAACGAAATGGATTGTTAAAATAATCTCCCACCAAAGGCTACCTTGGACGTCATTGGCGCTACATGGGATCAGACAAATGGCCAAATACAAGACGCCTCCGAATATGTCAGGTCTGTTTTGGGTGATGTGTAGCAATTGGGCCAAGGTGGGCACAAGAGAGGGAGACAGGACTAACACAGAGGAGAGGCACAGGGCGGCTTCGTATTGGGCACAAATGCTGAAACTGTGGAAGGAGATCTTCCCGGCCAAGGTAAAGGAACCACATACGAGAGAAGAGACTCTCCGGCAACCGTTGGCGCTGTAGAGCGAAGACGTGTAGAAGTCAAAGCTCCGGGAATTATTTCACGTAAATCTGTGCATGAACCAATGCAGACAGGATTAAAAGCGGTGGATAGCCTTGTTCCAACAGGTCGTGGTCAACGAGAACTTATTATTGGAGATAGACAACAAAGATGAAAGGAAAAAATCATTGTTTTCCAGCATTAAGGATGCGTAGGGGAAACCACTGACTCTCACTGCTAAGTACTCTAAGTGGGGAAAGTGGTTAGAGCATGGGATGTGGCAAATCAAGCATCTCTGGTTAGAGGGAGAAAAGCGGTGGAAGACAGCTAGGGACCTTAGGACAGAACTTAAGGGATGCAACAGACTAGCGGAGAATTACAGAACCCTGCTAGACAGCCATACCGCAAGAGTGGACGGAGATACTGAGGAAGGGAACTCAGTGGGGCTTAGGAGACTGGCCCACATGGCAACAAGATAAGGAACCAAGTGAAGCCTTTAGAATCTGGGACCAGGTGCCTACAAGAAAGGAATGGCTACAAGCGGATATGTATACCATCGCCAATCCAGGTAACACTACTAGCCTTCTGGATAGGGACTCTAAAACACCAATCACCATCCAAGTGCAACACTTGCGTAAAGTGAGGTTGGTGGAGACGGAAGACTACACAATATTCTGCCCGACTATACCAGTGGAAGAATTGGAGGTGGACCCGGGTGAATGGACGTGGAACATTAAAGGGGGAAGAATGGGAGTGGCAAGAAGGGTCAACATATTACATTACACCACTTGAATTGGTTACAGACTGCGAAGGAGATCTCATTCCTTGACAATACCACTATCAAATCGCTGGGAAAACAAGGTAGGGGTGTCACTGAATCAACTTCCCAAAATACCATGGACGATGATCAACTCAATACGCTTGGGTAGGGTCAGAAGTATGCAGTGGTTAATAGCTCATGTGGCACTTCAGGTAAATGCATGGCTAAATGAAAGGAGTCGTCAAGTCCAGAGGGATCCAGCTAACGTCTGTTGTAAAATATGCCAAGCGGGGACCCCAGAGTCTATGTTGCACTGCATGCTCGAATGCGAGGAGGCAAACAGTATATGGGAGGAAGCCAAGTTCACATGGAGTTGTATCTCAAGGACTCCCTTGCCGATGCTCAAAACTACCCTACTATTGGGCCTAGACCTCCCAAGTCAATGGCAGCCTTATGAGAAGAACTTGTTTCAATTGTTAAGGCAATACAGTCTATGGACCATTTGGAAACAACGATGCCAAATTACTCTCGAAAATTGATTAATGCATAGACAAGAGGCAAAGGAAATGCTCCTGACCCTAATTGAAACTGATTTGCGAGCACAATGGAAGAGGGTGGGGAGTCAATGCAAGCAATACCCGGAGAAGGCTGAGGATTATAGGGCCCGATTCTTTCAGTGAGGGAAACTGATTTTTAAATGGAGAACGGAAAGTCTAGGAGCGAAATAGGCAGTCTACAGTTAAGGAGGCATAGTAAAAACTACTCTAATTCTTTGGTGAATAGGATCTGTGTCCTAGAGTTACTCTTCTGAGATTCGGAAAAAAAAGAAAAAATAGGGCTGTGCGCTTCTGGGAGGTCATTGCCACCTGTAGCCCTGGGTTCTAAGTTCTAACAGTTGCTGGAAAGCAATAATCATTAGAGCTCACAGGGTTAATTTGGCTGGTGAATGTGCCAGAAAGAGTATGAGATCGGGTTCAGATTCCATTCAATTCATTACTTCCAACACCGAACAACAAAAAGGAAAAAACAGCCCTTATATTCCCCGATACATAAAAAGCGTCCGTCAGTGAAATGGAGGTTGGATCGAATCTGCAAGCTCATATGTGAGCAAAAATAGGGGTCCATAGCATATAGGACTTTTATGGTCATAGAGAACCATGTCCATACGGCATGCCGGAGCTACCGGTGGCAGTGGCTGTCAAATTCAGCCATGATAATCTTCGTTTCAGCATGGCCCTAAACCACCAGTACCTCCAAGCCTCAATTTCCCATAGCTGGGTATTTTCTACCCCTGGAATATCAAACGGTTGTGGGGGTGGGCCTGGCAGTGCCAACCCCATGGGTGTCATTGACGCCATAATTTTCCGAGAGGCTGGAATGTTTTCATTTTGATTTTTTGTAGTATTCTTCCCTTATAGAGCGGTCTGTACCATACATGCATGCAGTTTTTTAGAGAATGACATGAAAGTGAGAAATGACCAAAATTGGAACACTCAAAATTTTGTGCACGACGGCCTTTAGATATCGCCTTTGAACTGACCAGCCCCAGGCTAACCCAGAGTTACTCTCACTCATCTGATCGCATCTAGCTTGGGCTGCCTGCCTGCCCAACCTCACCACAGCACCATGTTAACCCGCGGATCCCCACAGGTAGCTGAGCGGGGTACGGTTGGTTTACTGGTGCCAGACTGTGGATCCCGATGGATGGAACAGTGAATACTCTCATAACGCAATTAAGGAGTTTGGAGCCTCGGCCGGCCTCATACGGAGATTATGCTCACCTCTTCTGACGTTGACTGTAGTTGCTGGTCTCTACTCTCGTCTTCTAGAAGTAGGTCTGGCTCAAGGTTTACTGCAAAATCTGTAGAGCAGCAATGTGTACAACGGCACAGATACACATGCATGCACACACACACACACACACACACACACACACACACACACACACACACACACACACACACAC